TGAAAGGGAATTAAGCACACAAGATATTACCAGAACAAATTATGACATCATTATACAGAGATCCACCATTTCATGACAACAAAATCAGCAATCCCAATACAGCTCATATCAGGAAGATGAGACACCAAATATATTCACATATTTCTGTGTTCCTTATTCAAGAGTTAGTGGGGAAGTCATTTATACCTGAATAGGACCCATATATTTTATCCATGAAGATATACTGTTTATATTAAAGGGTGAGTCATCATTAAAGATCACCAGTTCATTTTGTGATACCTGACTGTCCCCGGTGGACAGGTAAGGAACTTCTAAGTTACACAAACTTCTTAACCGTCCAATCAACAAGCCCATTGGGACGTCCTTCGGAACAAAGGACTTGTATGGTATAAAAATGCTACACATCCCAAATTAAGGACCACTTCATCATTACTTCATATACTACTTCATCACTCAGCTACTTGACTTGACTATACTACTGGACTTCTTAACTACTCTACTACTACTATATACTTCACTTCACTATACTCACTTGCTTCCTGATATCTGTAGCCATCTTGCTGAAAACTTTCAGCTGCCATTTTATTTTTGAGACTCTGCTGCTGATTTAAATTCTGGTGCCTGACTGACCAGCAACATTTTCTTTTCCCAACTGTATCCTACTGGGAGGCCTCAAAAATCAAAATTCTGGGAGTGGTAAGACTGTGCCAAAATACTGTAGTTTTCTTTTATATTTCAAACTTATTAAGATTTACAAAATTTTTGTATTTTTGTGGTTAGGATAGTATACTAAGGTTATCTGAATAATTATTAATGTAACTGTTTGAGCATTGGTTCTGAGATCATATACTGTATACTAACTGATTTGTAGTGTTTTTCTGGTTCTAATGATCAGTGATACTTTTTTATTTCCCTACGGCCGCAGGAAATTGGAAACAATATCTGAAGTACTCTACGTTGCAACTAACCCCTCTAAAATTTGTTTTACATCATTTGATAAACATATATTGTTTTTATACCGTAGAAATTAGCGTACTATATCTTTGTGTGTATGAATATATTCATCAACAGTAATTTGCGTTTGTATTAATATATATATATATATAAATATTTGTACATAAATAAATTTATTTATCAAAAAGGCAAATTTTGTGTATATGGTAACAAAATCACATTGGTGAAAAGAACTCAAGGAATATTATTGTGGTGATCAAATTATTAAGGTGTCCAAATTATTGGTTTATTAAATATTTGCCGTATTTTAACGGCTGGAGGCACTGAAATATTTTGTTTAAGGGAGAGAACACCGCCCTAATTATTTAGAATAAATTTTATCATAAATCACCACATTACATCCTTACATGATGTCTCCAATTTACAAGCAGAGCTCAATGCACTATTTAACTGGGCAAACATGTGGCAACTAATGTTTAATGTTGGCAAATGGAGTGGAGATGTCCATTGGATGTCATTGACAAGATTGAAGATTTGTTGACTTTGAGGATTTTACGGTCTGGAAGGTCCCTATACCTGTAACACGGAGTGTAACTTTGTATTTTGGTATTAGAGGTATGCAAGGGGTGGGGGGTAGAGTAGTGGAACAAGTGTGATGGAAAAGAAGTAAGGGAGCTCAGAGGTGAACAAGGGGTGCAGAGGCGATAAGAGGAAATATCTCATTGCCATGGACAACACCCCACTCTAGGCTGTTCACTACAAAGCCTGACCCATGGCCCACCCATCTCCCTGATGTTACTGAAATCTATTTCCATCCAGCAGCTAAGGACACATGTTTATGGAAGAAGACCACCTGCACACATACATCCTTCCACCTTAAATTCCTACAGCAGTTTGTAAAACCACTTTTTGATACTGAAGGTGCAAAGTTTAGCTTAATCGTAATGGGGCTGATCCTAGGTGTGAAGATGCAAGAAATGGGACTTATCTGAGGTGTGAAGGAGCAGGAACTGGGGCTATTATGAAGTTTGAGGGTGCAGGAATTGGAGCTGATCCAAGGTGCGAAGGTGCAGCAATTGAGACTAATCTGAGGGATGACTGTGAAGGAATCTGGGTGATCAGAGGAATAAAGGTGCAGGAACTGGGCCTGATCTAAGGTCTGAAGGTGCAGGAGTTGTGGCTGATCTTATATAGAAGGTGCAGGAATTGGGGTAATCTGAGATGTAAAGGTAAAGGAATTGGGGTGATTTGAGATGTGAAGGTAAAGGAACTGGGGCTAATCTGAAGTGTGAAGGTGCAGGAAATGGAGCTGATCTGAGGTGTGAACATGCAGGAATTGAGACTAATCTGAGGGGTGAGTGTGCAGGAATTGGAGTGATCTGAGGGGAGAGGGTGCAGGAATTGGAGTGATCTGAGGTGTGAATGTGCAGGGAATCTGACTAATCTGAGATGTGACGGTGCAGGAAATAGGACTGATCTGAGGTGTGAAGGTGCAGGAAATAGGACTGATCTGAGGTGTGAAGGTGAAGGACCTATGGCTGAAATGAGCTATGAAGATGCAGGAATTGGGATGATCTGAGCTGTGAAACTACAGCAATTGATACTGATCTAGGGTGTAGGAATTTGGGCTGATGTGAGGTGTTAAAGTGCAAGAATTTGGATGATCTGTGCTTTGAAGTTGCAGGAATTGGGGTATTCAGAGGTGTGAAGGTGCAAGAATTGGGGTTATCTCAGGTGTGAAGGCACAGGAACTAGTGTGATCTGAGGTATGAAGGTTCAGGAATTGGAGTAATCTGAGGTGTGAAGGTGCAGGAATTGGGGTGATCTGAGGGGTGAAGGTGTAGGAATTGGGGCTGATCTTTGGTATAAAGGTGCAGAAATTGGGGCTGATCTGAGGTAGGTAGGAAGGTGCAGTTATTGGGGCGATCTGAGCTGTGAAGGTGCAAGAAGTATTGCTGATCTGGGCTTTATATAGAAACATTGTCTGTGAGTTATCTAACACACAAAAATTGTACTATGTTTATTCGTGATGACTAATAGGTTTGACTTGCCATTTATCAATGCAACTGTGAGTGTAAAAAATTGAAAAGATACTATATGACTATAGTGCTATTGTTAACTGGCACTCAGGTTGTCTAGTACTTGTAATCACACTTGACATGGAAAAGGTTGCTGATCCCTGCATTAATGTAATTCCAAATGTACAGCTACCCTCATGAGGGCCGCTGTATTGTGGGTATCCCTAAACTTCTCTCCGTACAGCCAAACAGCAGGTAATTTTCAAACAGACTTGCTCCGAAGACAGTGACTAGTTCATGAATGTGGTTTTGTTTAGTTTTTTTTTTAGGGGATTTCAACCCGGATAGGGTAATAGGGATTATGGAATGCCCAATTTGGCTTGAAACAATGAAAGGGGACACTTCCCTCCTATGTACAAAGCAGGTCCTGGACTGTTCTTTTCCTGAAAGCTATCAGTCGTTGCAGATTAGTAGCAGCTGCCCTCAAAAATCACTTCATGTCTCCTAGCTACATGCAGGGATGTCTTCTCTCCCCCTACAGAGCTGCTCCAAGCTCCCAGCCTGCAAGCACTACCAGCCCTCCTGGCTTCTCGGAAGATCTCCCAGGTCAAAAGATAAAGGATTTACCTCAATGCTATCCTTGGAAAGCTTGCTATGTTTAGCAGCCTTTCTCCTAGTAGATCCCAAAGTGTGCTGCTGCAATCAGAGACAAGGGGAGGCGAAAGAGCCGCCATCTGCAGAGTCATCCAGATGACTTGCAATAACATAACGTTAATCACATGACCAACACAACTACCATGAGTCTCACAATGATTTTGCCTAGAACACACTACACTATTCTTGTCATGTTTCACATGACTGTCATATGCCTTTAAGTTTTCACTGTAATTTCTCTCTGCTCCTCCCTTTCCTTTTGGTTTAGTTAATGTTGTATAGATAGCCCACCCCTTCTTCCCAGTAATGCATTGCAGCTCTAGCCTCATGTCATGAAGCAGGTCACATTATGATCTTTTGACCTATCCAATGTTCATTGTTGTAAGATTCTCTCAGTTTATGGAATAAACTTCACAAGATCTACAAGATGTCTTCTGGATTGAGTCACTGACTGTGGTATTCAACTAAGATTGGGTGTTATCGCTATATCATCACAACTGTAAGTTACAGAGATCACACTTTCAATGCTTAGATTGGAACAGTCAAAAGATCAGTGAAATGTCTTCATAGGATCAGCCAAAAGATCAGCTAAAAGATCAGTCAAATGATCAGTGAAATGTCTTCATATGATTCTTGCTAACTTTGAATACACAGCAAGATGTTATATGGACAGCTGACAGAGTGCAGCCATCTCTACACAAGCCTGTACATGTCTGCAAGTATATCTCAGCATAACACTCATCAGTGTCAGGACAAATTATCGATGTGAATGTCTTGCAACTGCAAGTTTATACACTGCATCTGTATGCATTAGCACATGGCTTGTCTGTGAAATCTTATAGAAAGTAAAAGAAAACTTTTCTGCAACCATTGCCTAGGAAACCTGAGCTCACCCACAGAAAAATTGATACATTTCTCTGTAAAATTTCTATCAACCCTTCTCCTTGCTAACATGTTTCAGGAAAGTAATATACAGTGTGGGGAAACTAATACACAACCACAATCAGAGCTTCATCCAGAGCAGGACTTAAACCCTGAATTATACAAAAGAGAAAAACGCTTAAAGAAAGCTATCCTGGTAAATGCAAGAGAATCTTAATGCTGACAAGTTAGAATTGCTGTCTAATATTAATGACTTATGGTCTAATACTGTTAAATGCATGTCTGCTCTCTCCCAACAATTTCATGAGCCAATACAACTAGAGGGTGCTATCAAGCAATTGAATGTTGCTTATGAGTAGAGATGAGCGAAGTATTCAAAAATTCGATTCGACTGATTCGGCGAATTCGTGGACAATATTCGATTCGAGTCGAATATATTCGCTGTGAATTTAACTTAAAAAAGGGTGTTTGTTTCTAGGCTTCAGAGAGACTTAATATTAGTGCAGAACACTGTACCTTTAATTTAAATGCCCTTGGAGTCTGCTGGGAAGAGAAATAATACTGTCAGTCAGTATGGACATGCAGATGAGTGCCGTCGATCTTAGAATCACCGCACACTTCACTCATTTGGCCAGTCACGGGGCCAAAACCAGTGTTTGGAGCCACAGTGTGGCGGTGGAGGCAGCAGCAATGGGAGGCCATACAGCAACCTATGACAAAATGGAAACCAGCAGGAGTGTGAGGAGACCTCAAAGTGGCACATGGCAGAGTGGGAGCAATGTGAGGAGGTACAGGGACCCATGTCACACTGTGGACCCAGCAGCAGCGTGACCAGGCGGTACGGAGGCCCATGGCAGATTACAGGCCTGGCAGCAGCAATGGGAGGCCCGTAATCTGTCAGCACCCTATGACAAAATGGAACCCACCAGCAGTGTGAGGAGACCTGTAAAAGTGGCACATGGCAGAGTGTGGCGATGGAGACAGCAGCAATGGGAGGCCGTACAGGGACCCATGAGAAACTCTGGACCTGGCAGCAGCATGAGGAGGCGGTATAGGGGCCCATGGCAGATTAGGGGCCTGGCAGCAGCTATAGGAGGCCCGTAATCTGCCAGCACCCTATGTCAAAAAATTCAACACACCAGCAGTGTGAGGAGACCTCAAAGTGGCACATGGCAGAGTGGGAGCAATGGAGGCGGACAGGGCAATGTCACCTGTACAGGGACCCAGACTCTGCACTGGCAGCAGCATGAGGAGGCGGTTATATAGGGGCCCATGGCAGATTAGGGGCCTGGCAGCAGCTATGGGAGGCCCGTAATCTGCCAGCACCCTATGTCAAAAAATTCAACACACCAGCAGTGTGAGGAGACCTGAAAGTGGCACATGGCAGAGTGTGGCGATGGAGACAGCAGCAATGGGAGGCCGTACAGGGACCCATGACAGACTCTGGACCTGGCAGCAGCATGAGGAGGCGGTATATAGGGGCCCATGGCAGATTAGGGGCCTGGCAGCAGCTATGGGAGGCCCGTAATCTGCCAGCACCCTATGTCAAAAAATTCAACACACCAGCAGTGTGAGGAGACCTGAAAGTGGCACATGGCAGAGTGTGGCGATGGAGACAGCAGCAATGGGAGGCCGTACAGGGACCCATGACAGACTCTGGACTGGCAGCAGCATGAGGAGGCGGTATATAGGGGCCCATGGCAGATTAGGGGCCTGGCAGCAGCTATGGGAGGCCCGTAATCTGCCAGCACCCTATGTCAAAAAATTCAAACACACCAGCAGTGTGTGAGGAGACCTGAAAGTGGCACATGGCAGAGTGTGGCGATGGAGACAGCAGCAATGGGAGGCCGTACAGGGACCCATGAGACAGACTCTGGACTGGCAGCAGCATGAGGAGGCGGTATATAGGGGCCCATGGCAGATTAGGGGCCTGGCAGCAGCTATGGGAGGCCCGTAATCTGCCAGCACCCTATGTCAAAAAATTCAACACACCAGCAGTGTGTGAGGAGACCTGAAAGTGGCACATGGCAGAGAGTTGTGGCGATGGAGACAGCAGCAATGGGAGGCCGTACAGGGACCCATGACAGACTCTGGACCTGGCAGCAGCATGAGGAGGCGGTAGTAAGGGGCCCATGGCAGATTAGGGCCTGGCAGCAGCAATGGGAGGCCCGTAATCTGCCAGCACCCTATGACAAAAAATTGGAACCCAGCAGTGTGTGAGGAGACCTGCCGTGGCTTATCACGGTTTTCCCAGGCCACCGAAATGGGACGCTGGATGCTGCATGAGCAGCGCTGTAGAGGTCCCGTACAGGGCCCCCTGGCAGCTGGACTTTCTGGCACATAGTCAGCACATATAGGCTACGTTTACTTCCTCGGGCGGCTTGACAGAGTTGGAAAATGGCCACATGGCCGAGTAGGAAACTTTGGGAGCTAGCTCACTGGCTGACCAGCTACTCTGCCTCCGTGCACACTATGGCACCACTACTGGCCGATATGGTGGTTAGGCACAGTGCAGCTGGTGCTCTACTGTGGCCGAGACCTGAAAGTGGACACTGCTGTGGCGATGGCCTCCTGGCAGCAGCAATGGGAGGCCGTACAGGGACCCATGACACACTCTGGACCTGGCAGCAGCATGAAGGAGGCGGTACAGGGGCCCATGGCAGATTAGGGGCCTGGCAGCAGCAATGGGAGGCCCGTAATCTGCCAGCACCCTATGACAAAAAATGGAACACACCAGCAGTGTGAGGAGACCTGAAAGTGGCACATGGCAGAGTGTGGCGATGGAGACAGCAGCAATGGGAGGCCGTACAGGGACCCATGAGAGACTCTGGACCTGGCAGCAGCATGAGGAGGCGGTATATAGGGGCCCATGGAGATTAGGGGCCTGGCAGCAGCTATGGGAGGCCCGTAATCTGCCAGCACCCTATGTCAAAAAATTGGAAACACACCAGCAGTGTGTGAGGAGACCTGAAAGTGGCACATGGCAGAGTGTGGGCGATGGAGACAGCAGCAATGGGAGGCCGTACAGGGACCCATGAGAGACTCTGGACCTGGCAGCAGCATGAGGAGGCGGTATATAGGGGCCCATGGCAGATTAGGGGCCTGGCAGCAGCTATGGGAGGCCCGTAATCTGCCAGCACCCTATGTCAAAAAAATTCAACACACCAGCAGTGTGTGAGGAGACCTGAAAGTGGCACATGGCAGAGTGTGGCGATGGAGACAGCAGCAATGGGAGGCCGTACAGGGACCCATGACAGACTCTGGACTTGGCAGCAGCATGAGGAGGCGGTATATAGGGGGCCCATGGCAGATTAGGGGCCTGGCAGCAGCAGCTATGGGAGGCCCGTAATCTGCCAGCACCCTATGTCAAAAAATTCAACACACCAGCAGTGTGTGAGGAGACCTGAAAGTGGCACATGGCAGAGTGTGGCGATGGAGACAGCAGCAATGGGAGGCCGTACAGGGACCCATGAGAGACTCTGGACTTGGCAGCAGCATGAGGAGGCGGTATATAGGGGCCCATGGCAGATTAGGGGCCTGGCAGCAGCTATGGGAGGCCCGTAATCTGCCAGCACCCTATGTCAAAAAATTCAACACACACAGCAGTGTGTGAGGAGACCTGAAAGTGGCACATGGCAGAGTGTGGCGATGGAGACAGCAGCAATGGGAGGCCGTACAGGGACCCATGAGAGACTCTGGACTGGCAGCAGCATGAGGAGGCGGTATATAGGGGCCCCATGGCAGATTAGGGGCCTGGCAGCAGCTATGGGAGGCCCGTAATCTGCCAGCACCCCTATGTCAAAAAATTCAACACACCAGCAGTGTGTGAGGAGACCTGAAAGTGGCACATGGCAGAGTGTGTGGCGATGGAGACAGCAGCAATGGGAGGCCGTACAGGGACCCATGAGAGACTCTGGACTTGGCAGCAGCATGAGGAGGCGGTATATAGGGGCCCATGGCAGATTAGGGGCCTGGCAGCAGCTATGGGAGGCCCGTAATCTGCCAGCACCCTATGTCAAAAAATTCAACACACCAGCAGTGTGTGAGGAGACCTGAAAGTGGCACATGGCAGAGTGTGGCGATGGAGACAGCAGCAATGGGAGGCCGTACAGGGACCCATGACAGACTCTGGACTTGGCAGCAGCATGAGGAGGCGGCGGTATATAGGGGGCCCATGGCAGATTAGGGGCCTGGCAGCAGCTATGGGAGGCCCGTAATCTGCCAGCACCCTATGTCAAAAAATTCAACACACCAGCAGTGTGTGAGGAGACCTGAAAGTGGCACATGGCAGAGTGTGGCGATGGAGACAGCAGCAAATGGAGAGGCCGTACAGGGACCCATGACAGACTCTGGACTTGGCAGCAGCATGAGGAGGCGGTATATAGGGGCCCATGGCAGATTAGGGGCCTGGCAGCAGCTATGGGAGGCCCGTAATCTGCCAGCACCCTATGTCAAAAAATTGAACACACCAGCAGTGTGTGAGGAGACCTGAAAGTGGCACATGGCAGAGTGTGGCGATGGAGACAGCAGCAATGGAGGCCGTACAGGGACCCATGAGAGACTCTGGACCTGGCAGCAGCATGAGGAGGCGGGTATATAGGGGCCCATGGCAGATTAGGGGCCTGGCAGCAGCTATGGGAGGCCCGTAATCTGCCAGCACCCTATGTCAAAAAATTCAACACACCAGCAGTGTGTGAGGAGACCTGAAAGTGGCACATGGCAGAGTGTGGCGATGGAGACAGCAGCAATGGGAGGCCGTACAGGGACCCATGACAGACTCTGGACCTGGCAGCAGCATGAGGAGGCGGTATATAGGGGCCCATGGCAGATTAGGGGCCTGGCAGCAGCTATGGGAGGCCCGTAATCTGCCAGCACCCTATGTCAAAAAATTGAAAACACACCAGCAGTGTGTGAGGAGACCTGAAAGTGGCACATGGCAGAGTGTGGCGATGGAGACAGCAGAGAGGCCTACAGGGACCATGAGAGCTGGACCTGGCAGCAGCATGAGGAGGCGGTATAGGGGCCCATGGCAGATTAGGGGCCTGGCAGCAGCTATGGGAGGCCCGTAATCTGCCAGCACCCTATGTCAAAAAATTCAACACACCAGCAGTGTGTGAGGAGACCTGAAAGTGGCACATGGCAGAGTGTGGCGATGGAGACAACCCACCGACTGTTTTGCTCGCTGCCAAGCTGCCCCCTCTTCCTGATGATGCGGAAGCAATAGCCTGATGACGACGAGGCTGCCAAGTGCGATCAGCCCTCATCATCATCAATTAGGGTCTCCGCCTCACTACTAGCCCCCTCGGCTGCGTGTGGGTCAGGAGACAGACCTGTCTCTACACCGGCTACCGAGCCACTCTCCTCGCCACTACTTCTTCGCCTGGCTGCTGAAGAGGCGGATGTCTCCCCCCGTTCCTGACCGCCCTCTGTTAGCTCTTCCTCACTGTACTGGATGACACCGGGAGCACTAGCCTCTGGCTGCGAATAGTGCTGCCTCGACCCCTTCCTCTGCTGCCACGTCTGCTCGCTCCTAAAACATTGCCTCCTCTGCCACTCCTCTGCATGTTGTCTGACATACTCTTTAATTAAACGATTCTGTGTCCCTGAGTAACAATTCTGTGTCCCTGAGTAACGTTTCTGTGGCCCTAAGTAACAGTTTCTGTGGCCCTAAGTAACAGTTCTGTGGCCCTCAGTAACAATTCTGTGTCTGTCCCTGAGTAACAATTCTGTGTCCCTCAGTAACAATTCTGTGTCCCTCAGTAACAATTCTGTGTCCCTGAGTAACAATTCTGTGTCCCTGAGTAACGTTTCTGTGGCCTAAGTAACAGTTCTGGCCCTAAGTAACATTTCTGTGGCCCTCAGTAACAATTCTGTGTCTGTCCCTGAGTAACAATTCTGTGTGTCCCTCAGTAACAATTCTGTGTCCCTCAGTAACAATTCTGTGTCCCTGAGTAACGTTTCTGTGGCCCTGAGTAACAATTCTGTGGCCCTGAGTAACAATTCTGTGGCCCTCAGTAACAATTCTGTGTCTGTCCCTGAGTAACAATTCTGTGTGTCCCTCAGTAACAATTCTGTGTCCCTCAGTAACAATTCTGTGTCCCTGAGTGAGTAACAATTCTGTGGCCCTCAGTAACAATTCTGTGGCCCTCAGTAACAATTCTGTGCCCTCAGTAACAATTCTGTGTCTGTCCCTGAGTAACAATTCTGTGTCTGTCCCTGAGTAAAATTTCTGTCCCTAAGTAACTTTCTGTGGCCCTCAGTAACAATTCTGTGGCCCTCCCTCAGTAACAATTCTGTGTCTGTCCCCCTGAGTAACAATTCTGTGTCTGTCCCTGAGTAACAATTCTGTGCCCTAAGTAACAATTTCTGTGTCCCTCAGTAACAATTCTGTGTGTCCTGAGTAACAATTCTGTTCTGTGTCCCTCAGTAACAATTCTGTGTCCCAAGTAACATTTCTGTGTCCCTGAGTAACAATTCTGTGTGTCCCTGAGTAACAATTCTGTGGCCCTAAGTAACAATTCTGTAACAATTCTGTGTCCCTCAGTAACAATTCTGTGTCCCTCAGTAACAATTCTGTGTCTGTCCCCTGAGTAACAATTCTGTGTCTGTCCCTGAGTAACAATTCTGTGTCTGTCCCTGAGTAACAATTCTGTGTGTCCCTGAGTAACAAGTTTCTGTGGCCCTAAGTAACATTTCTGTGGCCCTCAGTAACAATTTGTGTGTCCCTGAGAGTAACAATTCTGTGTCCCTGAGTAACAATTCTGTGTCTGTCCCTGAGTAACAATTCTGTGTCCCCTCAGTAACAATTCTGTGTCCCTGAGTAACAATTCTGTGTCCCTGAGTAACAATTCTGTGTCCCTCAGTAACAATTCTGTGTCCCTCAGTAACAATTCTGTGTCCCTGAGTAACAATTCTGTGTCTGTCCCTGAGTAACAATTCTGTGTCTGTCCCTGAGTAACGTTTCTGTGGCCCTAAGTAACGGTTTCTGTGGCCCTCAGTAACAATTCTGTGTCCCTGAGTAACAATTCTGTGTCTGTCCCTGAGTAACAATTCTGTGGCCCTAAGTAACGGTTTCTGTGTCCCTCAGTAACAGTTCTGTGTCCCTGAGTAACAATTCTGTGGCCCTAAGTAACGGTTCTGTGGCCCTCAGTAACAATTCTGTGTCCCTGAGTAACAATTCTGTGTCTGTCCCTGAGTAACAATTCTGTGGCCCTAAGTAACGGTTCTGTGGCCCTCAGTAACAATTCTGTGTCCCTCAGTAACAATTCTGTGTCTGTCCCTGAGTAACAATTCTGTGGCCCTAAGTAACGGTTCTGTGGCCCTCAGTAACAATTCTGTGTCCCTGAGTAACAATTCTGTGGCCCTAAGTAACGGTTCTGTGGCCCTCAGTAACAATTCTGTGTCCCTCAGTAACAATTCTGTGTCTGTCCCTGAGTAACAATTCTGTGGCCCTAAGTAACGGTTCTGTGGCCCTCAGTAACAATTCTGTGTCCCTAAGTAACGGTTCTGTGGCCCTAAGTAACAATTCTGTGGCCCTCAGTAACAATTCTGTGTCCCTGAGTAACAATTCTGTGTCTGTCCCTGAGTAACAACGTTTCTGTGGCCCTAAGTAACGGTTCTGTGTCCCTCAGTAACAATTCTGTGTCCCTCAGTAACAATTCTGTGTCTGTCCCTGAGTAACAATTCTTCTGTGGCCCTAAGTAACGTTTCTGTGGCCCTCAGTAACAATTCTGTGTGTCCCTGAGTAACAAATTCTGTGGCCCT